AGTGCCCACCCGGCACCAGGGACGGCCTGCCTAGCTGCCACACGGGAAAAGGAGGTTCGGGGATGGTGAGGAGACGATAGATCAGCGAGGAGAGCTTGAAACTCTGGTGGGAATTGAAAATCTAGAAATACCGTGAACAGAGTACGTTCCAGGAGCCTGGGCCTTCTGGAATGTCAGCTGAGTTCAGAGGCCAGGCCTCAGTTATTTCACCAGCTAATAGTCGTGTGGCCACCGCTGCAGTTAGAGATTTTCCCATACCTAGTCTCCAAGGTGTGGGCCGTTTCTTGGTGAGCTCTGAGAGATGAGAGCCAAGATTAGCATTGTGGAATGTGGGGCGGAGGAACCTTCCGGCAAAGCCCGCCACTCATGCCAAGGGACTTCCCTATAGGGATGCTTGACCGAGCAGACGCACTGCCGTGGTCAGATGACTTGGGGTTTCGTGAGCTCACACTGGTCAGAAATAGGGGTGGGGGACTGGCTGCGGCCCCTCCTGACGGCCACCCGTGGCCACAAGCCACCCGCAATAGGAGCCAGACTAGCATTCTGGTCTCTCCTCCTCCAAGACTGTCCTAACATGAGTCATTTAACCACCGGTTGCTAGATGGATGCGTAAGGAACGAATGAGTATTTGTGAGAAGGCTTTTGCGTGTGGAGACTGCTATGCTGCACAAATGTTGGAGGGTAATGATTGTTTGAAACCGGAGAGGAATGTACTCATTAAAACGGGAGATAAGCACCCCCCACCTTGTTCCTCCTCACTTCCCAGGGAACTGCAGCCGCGTGGGGCCTTCTCCTCCGCACCGATGCGCAGCCCCCCGCCAGCTGCCCGTGGGAGGAGGTGCTGATCCCAACACTGCCGTGCGCCTGCTGTGACCCAGGCACACGCAGGGCGGAGAGGAGGAATAGCTTTCCCTTGTCCCCGGATGAATTCCAAGCCTAGTTAGAGAAATCGGCTCATAAACGATCTGAACACGGCACGCCAAGTCCTGTAACAAACGTTTCTCTAAGGTACTGTGGGGACACAGATAAGAGAAGAATTAATTCTGCCCGAGGGTGGGTCCCCGCCAGAGACGACATGTGAATTGGGCTTTGCAGGACATGTAGGAGTTCGCCCTGTGAACCAGGAATGGACGGTGGGGGAGGGAAGACCAGCAAAGCCCAGAGCGGGTAGAGAGCTGGGAGCATTTGGAGAATGACAGTGACAGCCAGCACTGGCCACTCGTGCACGGCCCTGGGCCAGCTCTGTGCCAGAGGCCGGCGCTATCCTGGAGGGACTAAAGTGAAGTAGGGTTGTTCTCTTGGGGTGGGGAAGAGCGGCCATGACAGAGGTTCGGACATGGCCTGAGGGGGTGGGGCTGAAGGTCTCGGAGGCCTGAGACGATTAGGCGGCCTGAGACAGAGCTGGAGGGGAGGGTGCAGACCTAGACCCCAGCAGCCAGAAGGGTGGTGGAACAGACTGGGCCACGAGGAAGCCTGGGTACACAGGAAGCGATGCAACATCACTGAGCAAAATTAGAGAAAGACACAAACGCGTGGAGAGGTAGCTCATGTACGCGGGTTGGTAAACTCAACATTGTCACCCAAAGTGACCTACAGATTCAGCACCAACCTGCCAAAGTTCCAATGGCACCTTTGATTGGAGAAATAGAAAAATCTATCCTAAATGGATTTGAATGGAAATTCAAGCAACCCTGAGTCATCAAAACAACTTAAAAAAAAAAAAAAAAAAAAAACAGGGCGCCTGAGTGGCTCAGTCGGTTAAGCGCCGACTTCGGCTGAGGACATGATATTACGGTTTGTGGGTTCAAGCCCCACGTAGGACTCCGTGCTGACAGCTCAGAGCCTGGAGCCTGCTTCAGATTCTCTGTCTCCCTCTCTCTCTCCCCCTCCTCTGCTCGTGCTGTCTCTCTCCTTCTCTCTCAAAAATGAATGGATTTTTTTAAAAAATATTTTAAGCAAACAACAAAGTAAGATGTTTCATAGTTATTGATTTCAAAACTTACTACAAATTGCAGTCATTAAAACAACATGGTACCAGCCTGAAGACAGACATACCGCCCAGTGGAATAGGATAGAAAGTCCTAAATAAACCCTCACATCCATGGCCAAACTGATGTACAACAAGAGTGCCAACACCATTCAGTAGGAAAAGACTGTCTCTCCTTTCATTTTTTAATGTTATTTATTTCTGAGTGAGAGAGAGAGCGCGCACGCAAGCGGGACAGGGGCAGAGGTGTGGGGCGGGGTGGGGGGGCCAGAGGGTCCAACACGGGCTCTGTGCTGACAGCAGAGAGCCCGGTGCGGGGCTCGAACTCATGAACCATGAGATCATGACCTGAGCTGAAGTCAGACGCTCAACTGACTGAGCCACCCAGGTGCCTCTCTTTCATTTTTTTGTTTATTAATTTTAATAGACAGAGACTATGAGAGGGGGAGGGGCAGCGAGAGAGGGAGAGGGAGAATCCTAAGACGCAGGACTCCATCTCACAAACCGTGAGATCGTGACCTGAGCTGAAATCAAGGAGCTGAGCCACCCAGGCGCCCCAAAAGCAGTCTTTCCGATGCAGGGTGCTGGAAACCTGCATATGCACATGGGAAGCAGTGACGATGGGTCTTCACCTTATACCATGGAGGAAATCTGACTCAGAACAGATCACAGATCTAAATGTAATAGCTACAGCTAGAAAAGCCTTAGAAGACAACACAGGGGAAGAGCCTCTTGACATTGGATTTGGCAATGAAGTCTTAAGGATGACACCCAAATCACAGGCCACAAAGGTACATCCAAGGACACAATCACCAGAGTGAAAAGGCAACTGGGAGAAAATATGTGCAGGTCATGTATCTGACAGAAAGGTAGGGTCCAGAATACCTAAAGAACTCCTACCAACTCAACAACAAACAGCCTGGTTAGTAAATGGTCAAAGGACTTCTTGAACAGACATTTTTCCAAAGAAGATATACCAATGACCAAAAGCAGCTGAGAAGATACTCAACATGACCGATCATTAGGGAAACTCCAATCCAAACCACAGTGGGATACCATCGCATACCTGTAAGATGGCTAGTACAAAAACAAAACAAAACAAACAAAAGAGAAGACAGCAAGTGTTGGCGAGGATGTGGAGAAATTGGAACACTCGTACAGTGTTGGTGGGACTTGGAAAGTGGGGCAGCTGTGTGGAGAACAGTATGGCGGTTCCTCGGGAGTGTTGAAAATAGAACATGTGATCCGGACATTCCACTTCTGGTTATTTACCCAAAAGAATTGAAAGCAGGCCCTCAAGGAGATAGTTGTATACCTATCTTGTTCTTCTGCTGGGGCTGCCATAACAAAGGACTGCAGAATGGGGTGGCCTTATTTTCTTGCAGTTCTGGAAGCTAGAAGTCCCAGATCGAAGAGTCGGCAGGATTGGGGTCTTCTGAAACCTCTCTTCTTGACTCGTGGATGGCCGTCTTCTGTCTGTGTCTTCTTAAGGTCTTCTTTCTGTGTCTGTGTCTGTGTCTTACTCTCCTCTTCTTAATAAGGACAGGGTCCGCCCATATGACCTCATTTTAACTTAATGACCACTTTAAAGACCTGTCTCCAAATACAGTCACGTTCTGAGGTTCTGGGAGTCAGAACTCCAGCCTATGGATTTGGGGGAGGCGGACATCATTCAACACCCACGTTCACAGCAGCCCCATTCACAATAGCTACGAGGTAGAAGCCACCCAAAAGTCCATTGATGGTTGAGCAGATAAGCAAAATGCAGTCCACCCTTACAATGGAATATTATTCACGTTTTTAATGTTTATTTATTTATTTTGAGAGAGAGAGGGAGGGTGCATGCACATGAGCAGGGGGAGGGGCAGAGAGGGAGAGAGAGTATCTCACTGTCAGTGCAGAGTCGGATGTGGGGATCGATCCTGCGACCTCGAGATCACAATCTGAGCTGAAATCAAGAGGCAGACGCTCAATGGACTGAGCCACCCAGGTGCCCCTATTACTCACTTTTCAAAGGAAAGAAGCTTTGACATAGGCTATAATGTGCATTATGCTAACTGAAAGAATCTAGTCCCCAAAAAAGGCAAATACTGCATGACTGCACCTATGTGAGGTACTGGCTTGTCCGATTCATAGAGACAGCATGTAGGGTGCTGGGTGCCAGGCACTGGGGGAAGGGATGGGGAGTTGTGTCACGGGGACAGAGTTTCCATTTTGTAAGATGAAAACGTTCTGGGGGATGGTGATGATGGCTGCCCAGTGTGAATGTCCTTAACGCTCCTAAGCTGTACACGCATAATGGTTAAGATAGTGAGTTCCGTTACGTGTTTGTTACCACGATAAAAAAGGAAAAAAGAGAGGTTAAGGACGCAGGCAAGTTCTCCTGCTGGACTTCCCACGTGGGGCTTCTTTCCAGGGTGTGTGGCGGCGTTCACCAGGTGAGACCCGGGGAGGGAGGAGCAGAGCTGAGAGTGGAGGGATGCCGAGTGTGGGTCCACACCGCCCCTCTGTCCCACCCGGCTGCCCCGATCGCTGTGCCCCGGCTGACAGCCCGGCTGTCCCCGCCACAAGGCCCCGGCATCTCTCTAGGAAGACACGCATCCTGGATGCCTTCCTCGAGCCCCACGTTCTGGGTCCTGAGATGAAGTCCTGTCCATCAGCCTTCCCCCAGGGCGCCGAGAGTCCTGCCCTCCACTGCTGTTCTCATCCTGGGGCGCTTTCCCTCCTGCTGCTAGCCGCGGCCTCTTCTCCTCACCCCTTCCCTGGGGGGGTGGGGGGCAGCGGCCTTCTCTTCCAGAAGGGAATGTGAGCACGGTCAGGATCTTGGAGGGAGCTGGCATGATGTCATCCCTCCTTCGTCTCTGCTTGCATCCACAGCCCTCCCTGGTGGTCCGTATTTACGCAGGACCTAGGAAGGGGCGGCGATGCACATATAGTCAGCGAGGCCCCTGGACGAGGCCGGATGGGCACCCGAGGGCCACTCCATTGACCACAGGCTCTCTTTCCATCCTAGGACCTGAGTTCCTTTGCCATGCCCCTCCTGGACGGAGACCTGGAGAGCTCAGAAAAGCATGCTTCTCGTAAGGTAAGGCCACCCTTCTCACAGCATCTCACGGCTCACCTGGGGTGCCACTGAGGCGAGACTCCCTCAGCGAGAGCCCAAGACAAATGTCCACCTATGCATCCACCTGTGCTCCCACCTGCTCATCCACCTGTGCTCCCACCTGCTCATCCACTGTGCTCCCACCTGCTCATCTACCTACACATCCACCTGCACACCCACCCACTCATCCACTCGTGCTCCAACCCGCTCATCCCCCTTACTCCCACCTACACATCTGCTTGTGCTCCCACCTACACATCCATCCGTGCTCCCACCCGCTCATCCACTGTGCTCCTACATGCAGTTCCCGCTGCTTACCCATGGGTGCACCCGGCCGCTGCTGGGATGACACACCTCGCCTGGATATGCCCCTCACACGCCGGCTCTCTAAAAGAAAATTTTTTTTTTTTAGTGTTTGTTTATTATTTGAGAGAGAGAGTGTGTGAGCAAGGAGGTACAGAGAGAGGAACACACAGAATGTGAAGCACCTCCAGGCTCTGAGCTGTCAGCACAGAGCCCGACACGGGGCTCGAACCCACAAGCTGTGAGATCACAACCTGAGCCGAAGTCGGCCGCCCAACTGACTGAGCCCCCCAGGCGCCCTATCGCTGGCTGTTGAATCTGAGACCCTTCTGGGCTTTTTCCCTCCCTTTTCCCTCTGGGCTCTCCTCCCTCTGGGCTCTCCTCCCTCTGGGCTCTCCCTGAGGGAGGCCAGGGCGATGTGGAAGAGCAACCGTTAGCAAAGAGAAGAGGCTCAAAGTATCGGTAGATGGGAGATCCAGAGAGCGTCCACGGCTTTCAGCTCCTTCCGGCAGGGACAGCCCCCCCCCCCGTTCTGGCTGTCCCCCCCTCCCTTTGGTCTCCCGACCACGTCTCCTTGCCTCTCTTTAGCTCACTGCCAACTCTGCCCGCTGGTGTTGTCTGGCGCCGTGTAGGGTCGGGCAGCGAGAAGAGGCGTGTATCCCGTGAGCGTCGGTGGGCGCGGGGAGAGAGGGGAGGTCGAGGCAGCCGGCAGTCAGGAGGGAGGGTGGGGCAGAGCTGGGGCAGCGAGTCCTTCCTGGGCCTGCTACCCACGCCCCGGGGCTGGGGGGAGGCCTCAGGAGGGGCCCAGCCGCACGGGGGCCGTGGGCAGTGTCTGGGCGTGGACGCCCAGGCCGCACGACTCGGGGGCTGGGGCCAGCGGCCTGGGCCCGGAGCCTTCTGCGTGGCACACACGTAAGGCAGGGTACTGGCTTAGGCCCGCGGGCTTCCGCTGTCCCTGTCCCGAACGAACCAGCGACCCGATGAGCAGTCGCGGTGGTGGAGCCCGAAGAGCCGCTTCTTAGAGGACGCCCTCAGGAAGGAGCCGCGGAGCCCCCAGCCCAGCGGGACACTGTCCGCAGCTGCAGGGCTAGGCCTTCCTCCTCCGGGGTGTGACGCCGTGAAGCCCCTTCCTTGAGCCGAACTCCTGAGGCGGATCCGCGCATGCAGTCACGACACACGGCGAGGACGGAGGCCTCACCCACCCTCCAGCCCCCGCTTTGGCGGTTCCCAGAATGTTCCGGAGCAAAGTCATTGTCACCAATGCATGACGGGAGCGGAAAGGGGCCATGAGGGTTTACGGCACCCCCAGAGTGTCCTTGGAGCCCTGCGGGGCATTGGCGATGGTGACGTCTGGCACACGGGCCGTGGCCTGGCTGGGAGAGGAGGCCAGACTCCCAAGAAGGTAGCGAACGGTTCCCGAAGGCCTGACAGCGGCACAGGCCATGGAGGGACCTGGGCGCTGGTTAGCTGGGGAGGCGCTTCTCCCCTGCACCTGCGGCCTCCGCTGTAGCCTGGAGACCGGCCTCCCGTGGAAGGCGTGGTGGACAAAAGTGGGCAGGATGGGGCGCTTGGGATTCCCGCCGCTCCTGATTCCCAGAGGCCTCCCCTCGGCCTCCCCACTGCCACCCCACCCCCACCCCATCCCCGGAGGGCAGGCGGTCCCTCCCCCTGACCTTGAACCCTGACAATCCTCTTTTCAATTGGACTCCAGTAACCTCACATTATGTGGACATAAGGCCGGCCTTTCTGAGACGCAGTTAGGCCTCTACCGAGAAGTTTCCAAGCAGTCCGGTTCCAGATGCAGACAGCCCTGCGAAGGGAGCGTGGCTTAGATCCTGCAGACATCTAGCCCTTTCCGCGGACGTGCGGTGGCCGCAGAGGGCGGGAGAGGCTGCTGGCTCCGCAGGAGGAGACGTGCGGGCACAGCCCGACCCCCGGCAGCCTCCTTGGCATCCCAGGAGCCCCGGTGCAGTGGATGGATGGGCTACGCGTCAGGTCCCCTTCACAGGCCTTCCTGAATATTCCAGCGGCCAGCCTGGCAGTGCATCACGTCAGTCATGCAGGATCTCCAGGCCTCCTCACGTTACCCCTGGCTGTGGTGCCCCTGCCCCCAGAGAGGCCACGCACCGTGTGTCTGTAGGGAGCGTCTTGACCCCAGGGCTGTGCAGGTCTCAGGCCAGCATCTGGGGCTCCAGGACCGCTCGGCGCCGTTGCAGGCACTGGGTCACGCAGCGGGGCGCCCGGGGTGGGGTGGGGTGGGTCTGCGGAAGGCCCGTGACTAAGATCTGGGCACCAGGCGGCCTGGCCTTTGCCCCAGCCTCCCTCCTGGCCGGCGGCCAGACAGCCCGCTCCCGTTAGCCCCTGAACGGCCAGCGCACACTGGGGAGTCTCTGGGCCCTTTCATTCACCCGGAGGCAGCGGATCGTCCGATTACATTTATCAAAGTATTGCTTTATCGCAGCCTCGCTAGCAGGCACGAGCCAAGGCCCTGTGGCCGGCAGCGTCTGTTGGCACCATATCCACCTCACCCCCACCCAGCCTGCAGGGAACAGACGGTGGGCATGCTCGGCCATCCCAAGTCCCCGCTGCCAGGGAGCATGATTAGCCTCTCACGGTCCCCCCTGGAAGAAGGGAGAGCCGGGCTGTGTCCATCATTGTGTGGCCTTTTTTTGGGCAAGGACTACTTCCTGTGGGTTCCCTCTTCAAGGCCGGACTCCGCTGGCCAAGAATCCTCAGTACAGAATGGAATTCCAGTCAGGAGAATCCTAGGGTGCCCCCTTGTGTATCAAATAAGGGTCAAAGCAGCGCTCACGGCCCTCTGGGACGGGCTGTCTGGTGGCGTTTGGCTCTACTTGCCCTGTGCCCTGTCCGTGGAAGCACCAGAAAATGTCTGTCTGTTTGTGCTTCCTGTTCTCCTTCCTTTCCTTCTTGGGCTCTGGTTGCCTTCCACCCGTCAGCCTGCCCAAAGCCCATCAGCCCGTCAGCTTTCAGGTCTTCTGTGACTCAGGGCCCCCGTGGCACGCCGTGTTTCACCCTTTCTTCATCTGCTTCGCACTCATGGCGGCCGCGTCTCGCCCACCATTCTCCCTCACCTTCGTCTTGTTCCCCCCACGGCATCAAACACCGGCATGTGCTCTGCAGCTCCGCCTTCTCCCTGCAGAGCCCCCCGGGCCGGGCAGAGCGTGGCCATCATGGAGGGTCACCTGTGGGCTTAGCCTCAAAGCTAGGTCCTGAATGTGACTCTCTGCCTCCGCCCCTCACACTTGACCTTGACTCCATTTTATGTCTTCCAGGCTGCTTCCACCCCCTCCCCTGGCTATTTCTGCCACTCTTGGGAGGGAAGTGGTGGAACGGCCCTGAGGTCCCACGCCACCACTTACCAGCTCTGTGACCTTCACCCTGCCTCCCGCTGGCCCCTTGTCCTGGCTTCGGGCTCAGTGGTGCTCAGTGCGTGATGGTAAAGGCCACCAGATGGTCTGCCCTGGGCAGATCGGTGCCATCCCCTTGCTAGAAAGCCTCAAAGAACAGTCAAGTGCCTCCACCTATGTGCCTCCCATCATAACTCGGCCCTGCCCCCCGACACCCCACAAATATCAAGCAACTGTTAGTTACAAATTCGTGACCAGGAACGAGGTCAGATGTGCATGGAGAACTCCCGGTGTGCCGGGAATCATGCCAGGCGCTTCCCCGTCGTAGATCCCGTCGACCTCTCCCCCCGTGGGTCAGCCTAGTGTCCCTGTCGATGGATGAGGACCCTGGAGCCTACATCACTTGTCCACACTGCAGGAAACTGAGCCACGGTTCAAGCTCTGGTCTCTGTGTCCAGACTCCTTGCCTGACCGCCCTGCTGTTGGGTCATCTTCTATTCCTTGTATGCTGTTCCTCGCACACACACACCCTCTCGCCGTTCACAGGTGCACACGGTCTACCGCGTGGAGAGCTTCTCCTTCTTAGTCATTCTTAGCGTTCAGAAAAACTTAAGAAAACCTGAGTCCCACAGGTAGGCGGGATTGTGGCAAAATTGAAAACTTGAAACACGGGGATCAGAGGACTAAATGCTTTTTCATATTAAAGGGCTAAAGAGAGAATAACTTAACCTCTCGTTGCTGCCATTGTGGTCACAGCCTCTGGCCCAGAAGCCCACTCGCTGAAGGACGGACGCGGAGCCCGCCTCTGCACCCCCATATGGCCACACGGGCCCTTTAGCATAGGGTAGGGAGTTGCAGGGAGAAGTGACTTGTGGTTGAGGGTCACTGAAGCCCCCCCCTCACCCCCCATAGCCGCCCCCCACTCCCATGAGGGCATATCCACCAGTCAGAAGCTGCAAGCCCGGTTCAGGGCGCCCCCTGGTGGTGGAAGAAGAGCTCACAGGGGCCCTGGGTCCCAGCAGCCACCCGCGTGGGCAGAGGCCAGAGCCCCACAGATGCTACCCCTGGGCGTGTGTGTGGCCTTGTGTGCTCACCTACCCTAGTGAGCCTGTGGCCTCCAGGGCCCTCCTCACCCCCTGAGCCCCTGGCCCTGTCGCTGTTCTCTCCTTCCGTGGGACCGGGCAGGCCCCGAGGTCCTTCTGTGCTGCAAGTTTGCCAAACAGGCGGGAGCAATGGAACGAACGTGCAGGGCGTAGCTTCTATGCCTCAGGGGAGGGCGTGGCGCCCAGTCGTACAGATGAGGAAACTGAGGCACGGCAGGATGGAGTGGTGCACAGGGGGGCCCAGTGAGGGGCGAGCTGGGGTCAGACCGTCGCACTCGGGCTGCAGGCGTGGCTCCTGCATTCCGTATGCCTCCAAGTCTGTGAGTCGGGTGCCTCGGCTTGACGCTCTGGGCAGACTCGGCCTTTCTCAACCGCAACTACAAGGTCGAGTCATCAGGGAAGTGCACCTCAGGGGCGTTCGGCCTCGTAAACTTCCTTCCTGAGCCCTGTCACCCCAATCAACCCAGTGCCGCGGCAGCTTGGGGGTGAAGGGCTCATGCTGCCTAGCGCTGGGGCCGTCTCACGGTGGAGCCCAGGCCGCCGTGTTTCAGATCTTAGAGGTTTATGTTTCCTCTTTTCAGTTTTTTTTATGTAATGAATTAAGTTACTTATTTATTAGTTTATTCATTAGCTTATTTATTTTAGAGAGGGAAAGAGGGGGAGAGAGAGAGAATCTGAAGCGGGCTTCCTGCTGTCAGCGCAGAGCCCGATGCGGGGCTCGAGTCCGTGACCCTGGGACCATGACCTGAGCCAAAATCAGGTCAACCATCTGAGCTGCCCGGGCGCCCCTGTGTTTCCTCCTTTGAACAGGGCCAAGAGAGCATCGTCCCAGGGGAGTCAGACCTTGGGAAAGACAAGCGTGGGGTCTGGAGGAGTAGCTTCCAGGAGACAGAAATAGGGTAAAGGGCAGGATGCCTCGTCTCGAACCATCTCGCTGCCTTTCCTGTCCTTGTCCACCTCAGGAAGCCCCTTCTAGAGGGCAGGGCGGAGGTCAGCGGAGCCCGGGGTGGTGCCGACGGGCCTGCGGGTGGGCCATCCTGGGTCAGGTCCTTCCTTGCAGGCCGCGGGGGGCCCCCCGTGTTTGCAGAAGAGCTCGGGGCCAACTCCGGGGCTGGGGGCCGCGAAGGAGCAGCCCTGGTGCCGGAGAAGCCTGGGAGGGCCCCGTGAAGCCGTGACGGGCCCGGGGCAGGGCTGAGGTCTAAGGGCCCGTGCTCGGAGTGACCCGTCCGTGTGTCTGTCTCTCTGCAGGTGGACAGCCCCTGCGGCTCTGGCAGCCCCTCCAAAGGGTTCTTCTCGCGAGGCCCCCAGCACCAGCCCTCCAGCCCCATGTCTGCTCCCGGGAGGCCCAAGACCAGCCCTGGCTCCCCCAAAACCGTGTTCCCGTTTTCCTATCAGGAGTCCCCGCCGCGCTCCCCACGCCGCATGAGCTTCAGCGGGATCTTTCGCTCCTCATCCAAAGAGTCCTCCCCCAACTCCAACCCGTCTACCTCGCCCGGGGGCATCAGGTTCTTCTCCCGCTCCAGAAAAAGTAAGACATTGATGCTATTGTTCCAGGTGGGTGCTGGGCTGCCGGGGACCACGGTGCCATTTGCAGGGTGCCCAGGCTGGCCGGGTGGCTGCCGGTGACAGCTGCTTTCCACCGGGCACTTCTCTCCCTGTTGGGGCTGGTGGTTCGAGGCTAACACACAGCGTGACCTTGGCCTGGAGCCTTCCCTGAAATCGGTGTGGCATCCTGAGGTTCGGCGCGTCCCCAGCACCACGGGGCCCGGGCCTTGGTGTGGTCTGCGAGATGTGGCTGGTTTCGTGGGGGTTGAGGGTCCTGTTTCCGACAGATCCTCGCTTTCCGTTTGGGGCTTGGAGCAGCTGGCGTTGATTGGAAGAGAAACAAAGGAAGGAAATGTATGTTTTCTAGGCTCGTGGGTATTTGTGATCTAAGGATAAACTGCTCTCCGGGGAGCCCTGGTCATCATAACCGGAAATGCACGAGGCAAAGCGTCGAGTAGACCGAGTTGATTTTCTCCTTCCCTGTGTCTTAGCGCACCTCTCCACACCTTCTGGATCTTTCTGGTGCCTTCCTATTCGGCAGGGCAGCGATTTGAGGTCGTTTCTTTTCTCTGCCGCCTACACGGCACTCGGGACTTGCACGTTAGAGCAGTACTCTCTCTGCAAGGAAAGGGCACGCAGTGCAAATTCCGTTGCCATGACTTACAGGGAAAGGGTGGTGGACTCTCTTCTTTCTTTTCTTTTCTTTCTTTCTTTCTTTTTTTTCTTTTATTTTTGTGGTGAGGGGTACTGTCTCTCGCTAGTACCCCTGAAGTCATCCCCCTGGATGAGTGGACCCAAGCATAAATGCACAGATGTCACATGACAGAGTGGCCCTCCAGCAGACACCAGGCAGTGGTGTGCAGTTGGGAACTTGTACACGAAGCCTTCTGGGGAGGGCTGTGTCCCAGCATGGATGTCCTCACACGCTAGGGACCATCCCTAGCTTCCTTGACAGAGGTGCTGAAATTCTCAGATTGTCCGCTAAGAGGAGGGGAGTATCAGACGGATCTCATCAGGGTGTCCTGTGTCTTCAACGGCGGCATCATGCCTCTGTTGCTTATGACACAACTAGGCTACACTGGGCTCCTGGGGTGTCGTAACTAAGTGCCCTAGACTGGCTGGTTGGAACAACAGAAATTTATACTTTCTGGAGGCCAGAAGTCCAAAGCACTATGTCGGTAGGGTGGTGCTCCCTCTAAGGACCTAGAGAAGAATCTTCCGTGACTTCCTCTTGGCTTCTGGTGCTGCCAGAAGCCCCTGGTGCCCCTTGGCGTGTAGAAGCATCTCTACAAGCATCGTCACATGCGTCTACATCTGTGACTCTCTTCTCTTCTTATAAGAGCTAAAGCGTATTAGATTAACAGTCCACCTATCCGACTCCAGCATGAGCGCTTCTCATCTTGATTAATTACATCTGCGATGACCCTGGTTTCAAAAAGGAACCACATCCTGAGGCTCCGAGAGAGGCGTGGACCTGGAGGGCACTATCCAAGCCAGGACACAGGTTATATGGGAAAAGCCAAGGCGTACAGTTCACATCACGGGCTGGGAGCGGGGTGTAGAGGATTTGTGGGTGTAGAGTGGCCAGCCTGTTAAGACCAGGGTCATTTCTGAAGGAAGAAAGGAGGAGCCAAGATACGGGGTCCAGACGGGAGGGTGGGATGTTGGCTGGTGGAGATGGCCAGACTCTGAGCTCCCTGGGAAATAGGAGTCCTTGCTGCCTTTTCTCATTTGGCATTTGAAAGGGTTCTTCAATGTTCTTGGCCAGAACATACTGTTTCGAAGATCTGTCTTGTACGATGCTATGGAGTAGGCATTGCTTGTCGAGGCTCCTTTCCACCATCTGCGAGTTGCAGACGAGGCTCGGGAAGGATATTGGAACAGCGTCGGCTGCTTATAAAGACAAGCATTGATTAGGTGGGGGTGGGCGCTTGGCTTCTGTGCAAGCTCTGTGGGAACAGATGTTCAGACCAGAGAAGACCTGGTCCCGGCACCTGTCCACGCTTCCACCCTCGAACCACTGAGCCCGGGTCCTTGGCTTTTCCCAAGTGGAAGCCAACACTGCCGGCCCTGTCCTTAATGAAGGTCTGTTTCCAGGGGAGGGTGCCCTGCTTCCCTGGGCGGATCACCGGGGCTCCTGGCCACTTGGTCTTCAAGGATGCTAGTAGGCGGCTTGCTTGGAAGGTACGTGGCCTCTGGCTCGTCCTCTTCCTTGACTCAGTTCCTCGACCAAGGCGCCCAGACCACGTATTTCTGGCCGCTGTCCCAGAACTGATCTCCTAACATTGAGCCTGACAGTAATGCCATCAGCCTGCAAGGAGGGTCTTGGTGAGAAACAGCTCACGAAACCCTCTGTGTCCACTGGAAGAGCATCATAAAGATGCTGTTCAGGCACAAGGGCCCTGGGAGACATTTCCTGTCCAGTCTTGGTACCAAGAGCGGCTGAACTTTTGAGCAATGGGGCTGTTTTGTCTGTGATGGACGCTGATCATGTAACCATTGAGTTTCCCCTGTCGGCACTGCCCGCCAGAAGTCTCGGAGCCGCCTTTGCACAAGGGGCGTAAAGCGTGCATCTCCAGCCTTATTTCTGAATCCAGTTTGGGTCCCCGCCCTTTACTTTTATACCATTTAAAAACAAAACAAGGAAGACAACTCACTGAAAGGATTTGGGGGGGTGTTTCTAGAATTCCAAGAAGACCTGAGAAGACCTCTCAGGACTGAGGAAGGGGAGGGGAGCCAGGCTGGCTCTGGATCTTTCCTCGAGATTGAGAGAACTCCCAGGCTCTGCATCTCTCCACTTGGCACAGTAAACTCAGTATAGGATCTCTGATCAGTAGGGTCCCGGAACCAATGGGCTGGGGGGGGGGGGGGCTGGGCCTGCAGCCAGAGCTGTGTGCACTGTAAGTGTGCACAGTCCTTCCCCAGCGGGGGGCAACCCTACATCATGTCCGGCCGTCAAGACTAAGGATGTTTCCCCACATCCTTCCTCTGAAGGTGATGCCTCCTCAAGTTCGGTCTGCAGCCTGTCGCTCTTGACGTAGGGCCCACACGGTGGACATAGGACCTAAAGGTTCAGCAGCCTCCCAGGCAGCACAGATACACATGCGAACTTGATCAACACCGTTATCTACTATGGGGGGAAAGGAAGAAGGAAGGTAGAAATTATGATCACACTCCTCTCTCTTCAAAGGGGAAAGAAGAAAGGAAAGGGAGGTACACTCTTGTTCACACACCCTGAGAACGAGAAAGGGAATAGGGGTGGGAGCTTCTGCTGTCTGGCCTTGGCACCAGCAGGTACCTGGGCTGGCGGACGTTCTTGGCCCAGGGAAGAGAACCGAAGCTCTGTTCTAGAAGGATCTTACCCTGCGGAGGAGCTGCCTCTGGAATGGCTGCAGTCTTCCACTGGTATTTACCTCTCGTCTAAGGTCCAGGGGCACATTGGTTCCAGACATGTCTTGGGGATTCTGGGTTTTTCTCACACTGCTCCCAGCCCCACCATGTGGCAGCAAGCCTGTTTCTCTTGATGGTCATGGTCTTACCTCCCCAAAACCATAATCCGCTGTTTTGCTTCTTCCTCTCATACACCAGTTGGCAAACTGCAGCCTGGGGACAAACTCTGGCCTGCCACCAGGTATTGTGAATAAAGCTTTATTGAAACAGTCACACTCATTTGTTTCTTTGGATGGTGGCTGCTTTCACGTCGCAGCAGGATTGAGCAGTTGCAGTGGAAACATGACAGCCCACCATGGACCCTGTCTAGTACCTCACGAAGTCTGAAGTGGCCGTGCGGCAGTAGAAGCTTCCGGAACAGTGACTCTTTATCTTCAAAAGATTAAAAAAAAATTTTTTTAATGTTTATTTATTTTTTGAGAGAGAAATAGAGTGCAAGCAGGGGAGGGGCAGAGAGAGAGGGAGACACAGAATCCGAAGCAGGCTCCGGCTCTGAGCTGTCAGCACAGAGCCCGATGTGGGGCTCGAGGTCATGAACCGTGGTTCATGATGACCTGAACCGAAGTCAGACACTAAGATGCCTGAGCCACCGAGGCACCCCAAGTTTTTCTAGATAACAATAAAATCATCTTGCACAATCAGCAAGGCAGGACCTCAAGAATGGTTTGCTGTCATGTCACTAAACTTTGCTTTCTAATCATTATTATTATAATATAAATGTTCTGCCTAATAATCGTAAATGATTATAAATGCCTACTCTGCATTCTAAGTGTGTCATATATAACAATGGTTTTAATCTTTGTCAAAAGTCGCATAAAGTTATATTTTTACCTTTTTTATCAAAATAAAAATGGAGCCACAGAGAGGGTAAGTCATTGAGCAAAAGCAGCACAGCTAGTAAGCAGTGGAACCAAGATTTGAACTCAGATGGCCTAACTCCCGAATCTACTTTTAACCTCGATGGGAAGACTCTTCTTTAAAGGAGTGGATTGTAGGAATATATAAGCCAATGATAGGACAATAGGCAGCCATTTAAGAGAAAGGAAAATAGAGGTATTTCCTTCGTTATTCCTTATCCCAAAATAATTTCCACATGGAATAAAACTTTACATGCTATTTAAATGTCCCAAAAAGTAGATGAAAATCTGGGGGGGGGGGGCGTCAGGCCTTTGTGAAGGGTGCAAATAGACGTTTATAAATGTGATGTGAACACTCACAGCCTTTTTCACCGTCCCCGGAAGTTTGCGGGCTTGATGCTCAGAGCGCCGGCTTGGTGGTCTGGGTAGAGAAGAGCTGGCTGATCTGTGTGAGCAAAGGCAGGGAGCTATCCGAGGGAGCACTGCTGTCTGAGGGAGCACTACTGTCCGAGGGAGCATTGTGTAGATCTGTGATGGCTTCCGGGGAGTGAACGGAAGAGTCCACACTTGATCTTAGCCAAAAGGCCGAGAAGCGATGAACGGAAGAGTCCAGAGGGTGGATTTGAGCTGGGCGGGACGCGGGAGTTTCGGCAGGGAGACCAGAGACCGAGCCCCG